AGATCCGAAAAGAACAACTCTCACCAGTTACGGTATTCGGACACGGGTATTCATGAGACGCTGCACAGTAATATCACTCCCGAAATCATGGCGTTTACGCAGGAGCCGATACCTCAGGTCCTATCCGACCGAACATTGGCACAATACGGCCCGGGCGCTCCATTCAGACATCGAGAATTGATTAGAGAATGGGTCGAGGGGATTTTCACTCGAGGAGGGCACGATAAGTTGATTGAGTTCAGCACCACGGTTGAACTTGCAGAAAAAAGGGGTGACGAATGGGTCCTCACGTTGCGAAAGGTTGTACCCGGAAAGTCGAAGGACTACTGGTGGCAAGAAACTTTCGATGCAGTGGTTGTGGCATCAGGTCACTTTTACTTGCCTTATATCCCCGAAATCCCCGGTCTTGTCGAATTCAACGAGAAATTTGCAGGCAGAATCAAGCATAGCAAGCATTTCCGTGACCCGGAAGAGTTCCAAGGAAAAGTATGCTGGCATTCGTACATTTGATATATTGAGATCTGAGCTGACTATTCACAGAAAGTTATTGTTGTCGGCGGCTCCGTGTCTGCGTTTGATGCGCTCCACGATATTCGGCTGGTGTCTCAAAAGCCAGTCATTGCATCACTTAGAGAACCCCTGGCCGCATTCGGGTGGGCGCCCTTTACGCACCCCGATATCACGATCAAGCCGCAGATCACTAATTTCTGTCCAAAAAGTGGACGCATTACGTTCAGCGATGGAAGTACCGTGGATGAAGTTGACACTGTCGTCTTTGCAACCGGTTATGACTTCAGCTTCCCATTCTTGCCCAAGCAGAAGGTGGAGAATAGACGAGTGCCGGGACTTTACCAGCATGTCTTCAATATCGACGACCCAACCCTTGCATTTATTGGGATGGTACGTCTTGATATCAGTAGAACTTCGTGCCTGGAGCTCATGTACTGACTCTATCGTGCAGGTCACGGGCGGCTTTACTTTCCGCGTCTTTGAGTGGCAAGCCGTTGCAGCGGCACGAGTCTTCGCGAGCCGCGGGAAATTGCCCCCTCGAATTGAGCAAGAAAAGTGGGAGAAGAAGAGGTTGGAGTACAAGGGTGATGGCATTCCCTTCTTCACTCTGTCGCCCGACTTCGAACAATACTTTGAAGCATTGCGGGCAATTGCCGGCGAGCCTGTGCAAGGAACTAAAGGCAGATTGCTGCCAAAGTTCGACCCTAAATGGCTTGAAGCGTTTTCTGAAGTTATCAACGCCAGGGTTGAGTGGTGGAAGAAGGAGACAAAGAAGGCAGAAGCGCAATCAAAGCTTGAGTTCAAGTCGAAGCTGTAGGGCAAAAAATGTGGTATTATTAACTAATTAGGCTGTTTCAATCTTGTCGTGTTTTGAAAGCGTCCATGCTAAGGTCAAACATGCGAGAAAGATTCCTTAATCGATGCTGGGTGCGGTGATCCACGTGCCCATTGAGATACCCTCTCACACTGTCTTCCGAGGCGTCAACCTCACGTTCAGAGGACCCTTCTTCCACAAACCAAACAGCTGCTGATCAGTCCAGTTCTTGCTGTCGTCTGCGACTTGCATGTCAAAGTTCCAGATGACTCTGGCAAGAATTACTCGCATTTCGGACATGGCCAGGCTGCAAAGGTCAAGTTAACACAAGTTTCGTGTCGTGCATCTTTTTTCAATGGCTTAACTTACTTCCTACCAATGCAGTTCCTGGGACCGAAAGAGAATGGCTGAAGAGCAGCTTTATCGTCGTTCTCGAAGCGGGAGTCTCCAAGCCATCTCTCCGGGATGAAAGAATCGGGCTCTGCGAAGTACTTATCGTTGTGGTACATGGGCCACTGGGAGACCATCACTCGCGTCTGTTGGTTTTTTGTCAGCAACGTGATTTGTTTAGATCTGCAGTTGTTTTGAAGACACTTACACCCGCCGGCACGAACCTTTCGCAGATGTAGTCGCCGCCCGGCTTGACAACTCGAGTGAGACCCATGGGTACGACTGGGTAAACGCGCATGCTCTCATCGAGGACTGCGAGCATGTAGCGGAGTTTCTGAACACTGAGAACATCGATTTCTTGCTCTGAGTTGAATGATGTGCGGACTTCTTGTGCCAATTTGGCCATGGCTTCGGGATGCATCGTTAGGAAGTAAGTTACTCCTGAAAGCACAGATGCCGTTGTTTCTGAGCCTGCAATGATCAAGGTGTCTGCGGTTTGCTCAATTTCCGGCTTTGACATCGCCTAAACAAATGTTTCGTCAGTTTCGGTACCCAGGGACAATGAGACATGCTAGGGACTACACGTACCAAAGGGCCCTCCTTCATCATCATAGACTGGACGAAGTCCGGCCTTGACTCGCCGAGTGCCATACGGCGTTGAACCTTCTCCTGGCTCATGTCATTGTGGAACTTTGTCTTGTTCTTCAGCTCTTTCGGAATCAACCACCTGGCAAATGGGCGTGTAATCCAGTATCGCTGGAACTGATTTCTCCATACACCGGCATGGATGTTGTCGAAAATGATTGACACCCACGGGTGATAGTCCGAGTTCTCCAGACAACCAAAGGGTTCGCCAAAGGCCAGGTCACCAATGATGTCAAAAGTCGTCCAATTATACCACGAAACCATATTCAGCGCTTTCCCTCCGTCATCACAGTTCTCATGAAGTCGCCGGATTAACAAGTCGATCTGAGCTTGAATCAGGGGTTGCTGATCGACCATGGCCTGAGCGGAAAATCCGTGGGCTAGAACGCGGCGAATACGTGCGTGATCCTCGCGGCCGGAGTTAATGATGCTGTGCGGCTTGTACCTAGCATTGACGGGGTCTTTGTAGTTCTCCATGCCACCACCGCCCTTGCTGTGGCCCATCAAGTCCTTGAAAGCCCGCGGGTCGGCCCAGTCGATTGTATCTGGGCCGAGCCTGACCACAGGTCCATATTGCTTGTGAAGCTCTGCCAGTCTCTTGTGAGCTTTACCGCTGGTGATCATTCGACTGAGCGGGATACGGGTAGCGGCGTGGAGCTTCGGCCCAGGGTAGTCTTTCAGTGGGTGGAAGTAAATGTTGTAAACCATCCTCGAGATCAGACGGAAAACACCCTGCATCAGCAATTAGCATGTGACGTCCTAGTATCAATGGCTCAATGCCGCGGTATCTACCAAAGCAAAGAGGACAATAGGCAATGCGACCGCCAGTCGTACATTGCCCAAGCTCGAAATATCGTGTGGAATAATCATATCGAGTGCTGTAGTGTTGTCGGCACGCCGTCCTATGATTGATGACTTAGTTCTGACGATAAGAAAAGTCTTTCTGCCAATAGTTCCCCGTTCTATCAGCAGGATGGCGAGCAGCTTATATCTGCCCAAATGCAGACGAACAACTTGTGCCCGGGTTCATGCTCGCCGAAGACGCGAAAGACACGTTTACGACCGGAGCCGAGCACGCCCCGGGGATGAACGGTGTAACCTCCAACCAATCGAAGCAACACGGCTTCCCGTCCGATGATCTCTGGTGACGTTATACTGGGCGACGTCGAGGCGGGGGAGCTGTGTTTGTTGGGGGCTTGAGCGTAGAACGGCATTTGGGATGGTGGGACGCCGCGTTTCATAGCGACACACATCTGACGGTGCCAGCCATGAGACCGCGGATTTCGGGATGCTGAAGGGTTCCGGGTAATGGTCCAATGTTTGTCCTTGCCTTATTCATTCGACTCGTCGAACGTCTTCAGTGTGTGGTGTTGGTACGAGCGAGGGTCCGAATGCGAATGCTGAAATACGATGTGTGTGGCAAGAGCCGTTTGGGGACAGGATTGCATTGATGTGGACGCGAGTCGTTTAGATGACAGCTCCTTACGCCACGGACGACGGAGAGCTCGATGATTTTGAGGGTCGTGGACTCGCGGCCCCCCGGACGAGCGTTGCCGATGCAGCACGGAGTGCATATGTAAGGGCAGGGCGCGGGTTTGGGAGAGAAGTCAGACTCTCCGCCGGCAGGAATTGGAGATTTCTTCGGCGCCGAATAGTCTTCTCCGTGACACCGATGCTCGGGTTGCTAGAGAGCTACAGTGTGCGGCAACGTTGCTGACTGGTGTCAAGATCGGCAAGGTTGTGCCACCATCACAAAGTTGTGTTCAGCTGAGGCGATGTGAACTGCTAATGCTCGTTGTAAGTTACGCGGACAGGCGGCTGATATGTCCAGTGTAACTCACCCTAAAAGGCGTTTACATGTTGGCAATGCGACGCCTCTTTGAGCACGGCTAAGGCCGTCCACATGGAGAGTTCAGTTGAGCCGCCATAATACCTAGACCATCGGACTTTGATAACTCCATACGGTAGGAGGTAATAGATCCACTGAAAGGCCGCTTGTATTGTGGCCCTTGGAATGTGGCTCGGTGTCAAATTGTCAGAGTTTAGTGGCGGATTTGCCTGCCGTTATATTTTAGCTCGAGACTGAAGGTTTGTCGGGGAGGTTCCCTTGAATTTAAGGGTTCTGAAAACCCCCGAACACTCTCGTGATCTAACCTAGAATGTTCAGTTAGCTGATGAATATCGGAAAATGTATCGTCAGATGCTAGACTGTGGCCACCTGGGAGTCTCTGCAACTTCTATTCGCATCACTTACCCCCAGCAGTTTCAATTTTCAGTCTCAGGCTCGCTAAGGTGACAATTATGGACGCTATGGCCAGTTGATCCTGGCAGGGAATGCTGCTGACTACACAGCATCAATCAACAGACCCATGAGCTCTTCTCAACACTTGACAGCTTGGCGACACGTGATGAGACACTTCCAGATTCATCGCAATCTCAGGGGGTTCGCAATCCTCGGATACGAGGTCTCGATAGGGAGTAGCCTCAACGATAGTCCGCTTCTTCGTCTTTTCATCGACACTCGCTAGAAGTCATAACCACAAGTCTCGTACCAGCGAGTTGTGAAGGGCTTTCCCAGGAACATTGCGTCCCCGCAGCATTCAAGAGGATCTGAGTGACCGGCAACGCCGGCCGAAGAGTCATGGAGACCGCTTTCAAGCGCAAACCCCTGCCGGGCCCTCCGCCAGGTCCGCCGCCGCCTCCGGATTTTGACCCCTTTCCCCAACGTCAACGCCCTCTCCGCGCCGCTCGGTCGACGCCAAACATTCGGCAGTCTGTAGCGACATCAATCTACGATCCACCGCCAGCGTATGAGGAGTTCCCTGTAGTCGACGCTAACAGTCGCCTGGCTTTCGCCGCTCCTGTACCGGACTTCAGACCTGGGAGGATTCCATCGCCAGGTCCTGCAATCCCAGCACCACACTTTTCTCCCAGTGTTTCTCCCGTTGCTGCTCACAAAGATTACCTACCTTATCGACCATCACCATCGCCATCACCGTCGCTTGTAGCAGGTGGTAAGGACTCGCCCGCGCCGTCCATTCCAGGGCCATCCTTTCCTGGCCCTTCAACAGCCCAAACGTTTCCGGTGGCAGGTCATCGTCCTTCTCCATCGCCCACACCGTCTAGCCCTGGATCTCTCGTCCCTGGTCCTCCCGCAACAGCAGAGACGTTTCCACTGGCACATCGACCCCCTTTATCACCCAATTACACCCCATCAGAAACCGTATCAACAGAGTCTCAATTGAAAGAAAAGACTTTCTGGCAAACCGCCCTAGACGAGACAAAGTATTTCGCGGGCGGGCTGATAAGTCATCCGTTCGAGTACACCAAGCACTACTCCATCCTCCGCCACTCGGGCGCGCTCGTATGGTACCGCGGCCCCTCAACCTCTATCACCATCACAATCTTCTCCGATGCTCCTCTGCCAGCAACCCGGACAGTATGGCTGCAGCAGAAGGGCTTCTCAGGCAACATGGGCATGAATCTCAAGTCTCTGGTTGGCGCAAACACATCATGGCTCGACGTGACGCCTTCTATGCAGGGGACACCCGCGGCCATGACCGAGGGCGATGAGAGGGGCTGTCAGCGCGACTTGAAGAAGTTTCTCAAAAAGGCACCCAAGAATCTGGCAAAGCATATGCCCAGAGAGACACACGTCGTGCGCATACCCGCGGCCGCCGATGATGGGTACTTCCGGCTCGTGCTATGCACTGGAGGCGGTGGTGACGGGGGCAAGAGGAAGGTTCTTTGCCCAAGCCCCGTCTTCCGTGTTGCGAGTACGTCTGCGGATATGAGTGTTACACGCGGCGCGAGCTTTGCCAGCATGCCTCTGGAGCTAGGGATCAAGGCCGGGTCTGTCGTAGCCACGACTGTCGTCAATAGGTATATCGGACCAGCTGCCGCTGTGGTCCAGTCTAGAACGAAGAAGATCTCGCAAGCAAAGTTTGTGACGAAGCACGCCGCTCATATCGCTTACGCAAAGTCGGGCATAGAAAAGTCCGGCATCAAGACGCATGTCACGGCATACGAGGAACAGTATGCCTCCACAAGGAGTGGGGGATACGACGCCTGGCAGTCCGGTGAAGCTGGGTTCCAAGAAGCCCCTCCCGAAGTAATTGGTCCCGACTCCGGTCCTACCAATCCATTTCCAATCAAGTTCGACGGCAAAATTGTCCGCGGTACAGGAAGAGGAGGGATGGAACTGGGCATCCCGACAGCGAACCTCGAGGGTATACCAGAAGACGTGAGGATGCGAATGCGTGGCGTTTACTTCGGCTGGGCGAGGGTCGTTCCCCGATCCGGACTGGAAGCAATATCGATAGACTGGCACGAGAGCATCATCACCGTCGGCCCCGCACCGTATGCCACACCACGTGTAGCCGCTAAGAACGTCGCCACGGTTCACCTGATCCACGAGTTTGGCGGCGCTCTGTTCCTCGACACAAAGCTCAAGGTTCTCGTCATGGGCCAGTTGCGGATGGCTGCGCCTCCCGTTGCTGGCTCTGAAGCCGCGCTTGAGGCCTACGGGGCGGATGTATTGCTCACTGTGGCTAGTCTGAGCCGTGACAACTGGTGTCCCATCGAGACGCGGGAGAGGATGAGAACCATGCGGAGCGAGATGAGCTTGGCTGATCGATATGTTGAGACGAGGGACAGAGTTCAGAAACAGGTAGACCGTATGCCGGTTCACTTGGCTGGGGTGAGAACGGAGGGTGCTGCCTTGAGAGACCGGGCATACGGGAATGGGGGAATTTGGATCCCGAGATGATCCAGATGCTCAATCGGCGATGGACGGGACACGTAATGTTCACCTGTCGACACCGGGCGTGTAGACTCCTTGTTACCTATTAGACATTTAATATTTTTCATACACTTAGGCAGGCAGGTACCGAACGTACCTTCCACACGTGTACCTGTATACTGATCTCGCCTACACGTATACACCACCCACAATACCCGTATAGGTCCCAACAATTCCAATCCGATCACCAGTCAGTAGGCGCCTCTCTAGGTCGGGGGGTCAGGTCAAACTGGCTGGGTGGTGGAAGGGTTACAGGTCCGACATTCAACACGCCCATAGCCTACTCGACGACAGGCTCCGAGTTCGATTCCCAGCGTTAGCGCCAAGAGATGTAGCCACACCGGTGGTGAACTCTTTTTTTGATCTTCTCGAATTCTTAATGCCTCAAAGGAAAAGAATCTGCTCTTTATGACGGGCTGATTTGGTAATCAAATTAAATTACACTATAAAAAACTCCAAAACATCTACTAGATAGTCCATCCAATTGAGCATTCGTTCCACTCTCCTCATCTCGCAGCGAAATCTTCACCTATCTCTCTGACTTTCTTTCATTATTAGCCTGAAATATATATCACACCGATTCTACCTGAGGTAGTACGTTGTTCTTGATGGCATCCCAGCAGTGATCGCAAAGCTTATGACTCTTTATGTCATCGATCGTCTCAGCGACCTGTCGAACGGATTGTTAGCATATTGATGGCTCCGCCGTATGAGACGGCAACGATCGACTGGTACAGCATAGGGATGACTCACTTCAGCCAGGCAGCCAAGCTTTTCCTTCTTGCCAACCTTTCCAATGCCTTTGGTACCCACAACTTCAATGAGGCACTTGACAGATGTGAAGCCGAGCTCCACTCCGCATCTCACGACGTTGCATCCATCGACCACAAGTTGGTCGTCACTTGCGAGCAGTTCCTGTTCAGCTTCATCGAGCTGATCCCATACAAATTTTCCGGCTTCGCTCAAAGCGTTAACAACATCAGAGAAGAAGTCCAGGATGTCATCAAAAATTCCCGGAACTGGAGCGGGTGCTGGCTTGGGAGACCGCGCTGTGTAGTTGGGTGCAAGCCCTGTTGAGAGCGAAAGCATGGAGAGTAAGGCAACGAAAAAGGTAAAGGTCTTCATCTTGTGTGTAGTACAACTTTTTGGTTTGGTTATCGAAGCAGTGTTTGGTTTTGTTGCAGCTCTAGGCTGATTTGTATGAGTTTATGGTCTTCGTCGTCGCAGAGGAATGCTCGCCCTTTATGTCAAGATCCTCCTACCCTCTCTTCATATTGGTTGTGCACTTCTCGTGCCTAAGATGACCTATTTTGAGACCAACAAACTTCAGACTCTCGTGCATGAGATTTCCTCTCAACTCCAATGTTTTCCATCACGCGCGAAGCCGTTATCTCCTATTTTTGCCAGAGCCTGCTTTCAAGCTGAGCTCTCAAATGCGGTTCTTTCCCTATGCGTCCGCAAAAGGGGCTGTGCGGATCCTTCACAACGAGGCTGCGATGAATCGGATGAGTGCTTGCATGTAAGCGCCGAAGACACTACGACAATGCATGTAAACTCCTGTTGGTATCCGCTTGCATGGTATGACAGGTATACTTGAGTGTTTCTAAGCTATTGCAAAAGGTTTTTCTAGAGCCTTACGATGGCACGTTCTCAGGCACCGGTACCTCATTCGAATCACGGCGACGATGTGCTTTGAAGTCACGTTAATACCTCAACTGTACATGATTCTTCATGTGTTCTCAGGTCTCAGTTACAGCCTGTAGGCTTTGATGCCACACGTAGCCTGCGCAGAAGGGGCTGTGTGACGTGTAAAAGCTAGGCGAGTACCTGCATGTACTTCGATGTTGCAGGTTGGATGCACAACGTCCGCTCCGGGCGTAGAGGTGTTACCAACATACAGGCCAGATACTTACAGCTATGTATACAGCTATGTTCCTTTCGTGAATAACACCAGTCTGGACCGTATGGTCTAATTGGCCGGGTTTGTTGGTCATTACCACATGCACTCTTGAGTCTTGACCGCAGTAGCGGGCCAGCCCTTCACCATTGAGCGATGCCAGGCTCCTACATAGGGGTAGAAAACGCAAATCAGCCCAAATCATTGTCTCTAAACTTTCTCAGTCTCTAATATCTAAAATAAACTACCTCAATTACTGGCTCTAGTTCTTGCAGTCTACTAGACTGCCCCAATCTGTAATGAAAATTCTAGTCATTAACCATCTCTCCCAGAATCAGCAAACTCGCTGAAGGGCGCAACAGCGTCAACGTATCTGTGAAACCTGACATTACAATCGCTGACTTGTAAGTAACGAGTAGTAACAGGCGTAGAATGAGTAGGCTATGCGCATATCCCAAGTCCTCACCTGACCATGTTAGGCTGGTGGTCGACCGCAAATAAACTGAAAACCCCGCGGCCTAAGCAGTCACAAACCTACTCCTTTGTCTCAACTTTCCGCCATACTTGAACAGAAGCCAAGGGATTGGTATCAGAGGAAGTGAGAGGAACGCAAATACGCTGCCAGCCCAGTGCACGCCAAGCTTCTCATACATCTGGAGGGTGAACAAGGGGAAGACAGCACCCAGAATGTATCGAAGGATACCATTTGCGGCCAGGGCTGAGGATGATGTTAGAATCACTTCCAACGAAATGAAAAGCTTCCAGAAAGAGGTACATCCACTTACCAGATGCCGCGGCCTTTTGGCCATAAAAGTCGACCATGTAGGTGATGACAGACAACTTGAATGAGTTAGTTACGCCCTCCGCTTCGGATCGGAAGCCTTATTACTCACGAATAGACAAAAGGCGCCGAGCCCGAATGGGATACCAGCCGCGACCAAGGCGGCCCAGTGACCCCCACGATGAGCTTCCCATGCATACCAGAATAATCCAGCAGGAAGAGCAACACTACCCACGAGCGCCGCATACAGTCGCTGCTCGGGAAAACCTTTGCCGGCTTGCACAGCAGGTATTCTGAACTTGGCATCGAGGAAAGCAAAAACAAAGGTTGCCAGGAAATAGCCAATGATGATGCTAAGGAAGCTCAATCCAACTTCTCTCAAATTGAAACCGTAGTACTTCTGGAGCACGTAGGAGCAGCTGCCGAAATAGCTGAAGATCATGGCATAGGCAAAAGCTGTGTAGATGGCCAGCGAGGAGACAATAACCTCAGTGAGGAGCATCTTTGTCGGTCTCATAACGGCGACTCGAATAATGCTGCCAAGTCGCGCGAAAGTGATGGGCTCTTCCCCTGACTCTTTGCGCAGGATCCAGGCTTTTGATGTCTCCTTCATCAATATAGCCCCGACCCAGATGGGAGCACCAACCATGAGGAGAACATATTGCGTCCATCTCCAGTCGTTGCCTCTGTCGTGTATGATATAAGCTCCAGCCAAAGGCCCCAAAGTCGGTCCCAGAAACGGGCCAAGGATGTACAACAGTGATGCGCCAGCTCCCTTGCCGAGTTCCCAAACATCAGCAATGGTTCCTGCGCCGACAGCGATGCCGGCAGAGCCCAGCGTTCCAGCTATGAAACGGCAGGCGAGAAGTCCAGAGAATGTTGTCACCGCCGACGCACCTCCAAGGAATGCGAGGAGGAAAGTGCAGGATCCGGCGTAGATCCACTTGCGACCGATTACTTCAGAGAACGGGGCAATGAAGAGGGGACCGATGGCGAGACCGAGTGTATAGAGCGTCAGAGGGAGGATGGATTTCGTGCGTGAGACGGAGAACTCGTCCATTATTAGGCTGGTCGCGGGGACTGTAATTGAGGTTGCGAACGTGCTGCAAGATTTCCCATGTCAGATTAGATTATATCGAAGGCATTATTAGGGAAGAAACCGACATTTCGAACGCCAAGAAGCATGGGATCGCAGTGTGAAAGAGCCTGGAAAGAAAACTCCAGTTCTTGGGGTTTCTCGACTCACGAGGGTCGTCCCATGCGAGTTGCTGTTGACCACCATCTTCGGAAGAAGTGCTGTCCTCACCTGCCCTTTTCTCAACATCTTCTTCTGGTCGGTCCATTACTGGAGGTTTGATGGAAGATTCTTGGCTTGTTGTGCTCATTTCGGCAGCAATAATCATGCATTAGAGACACTGCCGCTGATTCTTGTGATGAGGGGATGCTTGAGTAATCCAAAAACCCAGTGCCACGGCCCTGGGATAGGGAGATCTATATACCAGGCAGACTCTGGCGAAGATCTGTTAAGTTGATAGGAGTATCGGCGTCTAGCGTTGCTGAAATCCGTGTCATTGGTTATTGCCTTTCCGGAATTCGGGTGGCAGGTGGACTTGGCCAACTGTTCACGCCGAAACCTTGAAGCTTAAGAGAGCGGATGACCTTATCTTGTCTCTGATTCATATTTCTTCACCAGAGGGTCTGTAAGCACTACCTTACTGCTGGCCTTCATGACCCTCGGCCTATGGGTATTTTGGTTGGTAAGGTGATTACTGATCTCTGATGAACTGGAATCTAGCGGTGGGATAAGGCTATGAGATGAACCATGGTATTAAGCTATGGCCTGACCGTTGGCTCAACTTTCCACCCAGAACTCAAGATGTGCAATTTTATATCGTGGGATCTCTGAATTGATTATCCCTCAACAAATTTTCCATGACTATCAGATGTTGCGAAATCCCGACCATCGTCGTCTGCACAGTATTATCTTACATCGCAAACGCGGCACACTGTTGTTGATTAGTAAACTGGTCCTCGGCTGGCGCAGTGGCGCTAGTGTCCCAGGAATTTGCCAATGAATCAATGCGAACAGGACCCCTGTGAGCGCTGAGAAGCCAGAATTATGTCTTGAACGCATGAGTAGCGTGGGAGATCTACGGTCTGGTTGGTCCAGTCTTAGCAGCTGGATGAGATCAGAGCCAACATCGATGTCGTTTTACTAGCGCGGCTAGGATTCAAACTCGGAGCAAATTACATAATTCGAAGACCCCTAGAGCTTGGGACGCGCGGTACTTACAGGTACAAATTCATTCTGCTCACCGGCGTACACTTCCCACCTACCTCGCCATGCTCAACAACTGGGGCCAAGCATTCTGCATCATCTTTATCACTTACAAATAGCTCCCTTCGAATATTTTAATGCGCAATCGATTCTTTGATAGCACGGTCGCCGAAGGTATTGAGTTGCTCGATACCTTCTGGCTCTTGCAAGGCGATCAAAGAGAATCCGGGTAGCTCAGCTAGGCCATATCCCAGGTTGCAGAGCAACCAAGAAGGCTAAGACTGGGGTCCGCGGGAAGTAAAGTTTCTCGGTTCCTCTTTAGTGCATTGTTCTCTGCTATCTTAATGGAACCCTTACGTCGCAATGGCATCCTTGACTCTCAGTGGTGCAACAGCCCTCGGGAGGCCAGGGTCTCGTCGAGGCTGCAAACGAGACTGGATTTGATCCGCAAACTCAGCTTCCAAACAACTGATCATTTCCTCGATATCATAGTCCCAGATCTTGTGCGATCTTTCCTCGAGGTCTTTGAAACATTTGTCCCAGTCACGCATAGTGTCTGGATGGTTCCACTCGTAAATCTCGCAGGCTTCGCGGCTGCTCTTCACCAGCCACTTCCCACGAGGTGGTCGAACAGTATCGTAAGCCCGGAACATGGCCTCCAGTAAGTCAGACTTGTCGTTTTGTGTAGGTCTGGATAGGCCTTGCAATATCTTCGTGCCATTGTCAAGGAGTGTGGCCAAAGCTAGCGCATCCTCGACGCCCATACCTGCGCCGGCTCCGTGATGAGGAGTGGAGGCGTGAGCAGCATCACCTGCAAGACAAAGCCTCCCTTTGACGTACGTTGGAGCAGGGTAGTCGTAAGTATCAAAGATGGCCCATTTAGTAATTTCATCTGGCAGCAAGTCAATGAGACTCTTGACTGTAGGACCCCAGTCCTGGAATACATCAGCGACCTCCTTCCTTGTCGTCTGACTTGTCATGTTAGCAACTCCATCGCCCCTCTTGTCCCAATCAGTAGTATCATCGGCAAAGGCCACAAAGTTAAGAATCGTACCACCTGCCACCGCGAAATGCAGGACATGTGCTCGTGGACCGGTGTGGCAATGCTCGTTGTAGGCTTTGAAGCTTCCGATGGCGGCTACTGCGCGGTCCATGGGTATCAAGGCCCTATAGGCAACTTTGTGGCTGGAGTGAGGGTACGCGGCGGGGGTATCCGGTCCGAGAACCAGCTGTCGGACCTTGGATTTGATGCCGTCGCATCCAATAACTTGTAAGCATCAGTGACAAGGACAGTATTAATAATGTCATTGGGAGTCGACATTTGCCATGATGGAATCTTTGTTATGTGACTCTTACCTGCATCGGCGCTGGATGTGGTGCCGTCCTGAAAATACAGAAGCACCTTTCCCCCTATATCTTCATCTGTCACATTTACCAGTTTCTTACGGAATGCGACCGCATCGTCTGGGATGATCTTGACAAGCTCGTCTAAGAGATGAGCCCGATGACAGCCAATGAATCCCTCATGCCCAGTGTCGAGGTTATACAGAGGCATATCTTCTTCGCCAGGGCGATTCTCATCCCAGGTATATCCATCGTTGAAACGGAGGCACTCTTCGGGCTCGTCTTCGTTCTCACCGTTGTGTGTGGCTACGGCGTTGACGGCCTCCTCAATGAATGGATTTAGTAGGGCCATGCACTTTCTGGCATTGGTAGTGAAGCCAATTCCGGCACCGATCTCGCGGAAGGAGCGGGACTGTTCGTATATCTTGACAGGAATATTCCGCTTTAGTAAGCCCAGCGCTGTGATGAGACCTACAATTCCACCACCGACGATGGCAATCTCGAAATTTTCGTTGGAATCGGACATGATTGAAGAAAGGCTCTTTAAAACTATTTGTGAAGGAAGTCTGCAGCCGTTTGAATATGGAGCGAGGTAGTTATCATTAGATCAATTATACCTCAATCTGAGTGCGTTGGGCAAGAAGTACCTTGCTGTCGATGGCGCTTACTCATCTGGCTACACATGTGATGTCAACCTTTAACTGATATTAGGTGCACGTCCTGAAACACCGGAGTTCGCGGTCTTCCTGTCCGGCGGATGATGATCTCATCCGAATAGTGTTCAGAGCATTGACGGCCTCGCCGACGGACTTCGGCTCTCGGCCCATTGCCCTTTGGCAAATCACCTTTTCTCGGTGAAAACGAAGATAGGGTCGATGTACGCCGGGAACATTCTAGAGACAACGCGAGTATCTCATGTAGGTTTCTCAAGACAGCCGGTGCTTGTAGCTTGTAAGTAATGACTTTAATCACTGACAAATTCATTATGTAGGGGAAGAACCTTTGAAAATCAAGTGAGATACAGCTGAAGCAAGCGGCTGAATATTACTTTCATATTGATTTTACACACGCTCAGAATAGACCAACATTTCCATCCACCACTCGTGAACGATCCAGGGGATGTTCAGTCCCCCATACTCGGTTCCTCAATCAACAGGTCCATGAGAGAGTCAGGCGTCGCCAAGGCATCCTCATATCCAAACTGAGGCGGCTCTGGCTTCGGGATACCTTGGCAAAACCCATTTGCAGCTTTCAACTCCCCCAAAGCTTCATTCATCGTCTTAATCTCATCTTCTAACGCCATGCCACGTTCCTGAAACCTGACCAGAGCTTTCCGACATGAATGAAATGGCGCTGGCGTAAATGGGTGGATCTGGCAAATGTTAAAATCGGATAATAAAATTCTCGATAAGCGTGCAATCTCTCTAGCTGCTGCTACAGCTCTTTCCTCACAGCCATCGACGAGATGATGGTACTCTGCAGTAGTATCCGGCATGGTTGCGGCCACCTCCAGAAGTGATAGTGACGCTACTTGGGCCACTATCCTAGTAAGTAATGTCATAGATCCAGCGCGATGTGATACGGAGAGGCCCTGCAGACGGAAAATCTGCCGCGTGAGGACGGAGTCCACAAACATGTGGCGCTCCGAAAATTGGGCAGGCGACGTCCCACTTTCATGCCCAATCCTCGATCGATTCTTGTGGACTTGAATCTGCTCGGACATTGAGATGGATAGAATGAATTCCAAGAACGGATGTTGCTTTGCGGCTGTCTGCAGCTCCATAGCTTCTGAGAGAAACAGAGAGATGGTGGGCGTGCGGCTTTGAAATGCGTCTTCAGAGCAAGGAAGCCGAGTATATATCTGGATACATCCTATTATTAGTACAAGAATTCATAATGTATCTGCAGTAATATTTAAGAAAAGATTGGCGCATAATGCTGATGAACAGGGGTTGAGTGCGTACCTCAGATTCAGTGAACGTCCGGGGCAGATCATGCGCCAAGCAAATAACAGTATCTAGACAAAATACCATCCAAAACGTCCTTCTCTTCTCCTCTTTCTCGACAAAGTAATCTGGGTCCTCGGCTGATCCGGAGGCTTTGGAGCAACTTGAATCGATATTGCTCAGGCGCAGGAGCTGTATCAGGCGTATCGCTCGCCCCGTACTCACCCATGCGCGGTGGAAACCGACTGCCATCAGCTCATACATCGAGATGAGAATCCACGCCTGGGTCTGCTTCAATAAAACCTCCTCTTTATCCATTGGACTGCCAGGAGAGTCAAGATTCCCGAGGCGGTCGAGGGCTTCGCGATACATGGTGTCGCACAAATGTTGAAACTGCGACGACAGTGAAGACGCCATCGCCCACATTGCGTACTGTAGACATGTATGTGAAAGTTTGGATTCGTCCGAGGTAGAGCGGCTGTTCATTGTTGGTCTCTTTTCCAAATGCTTTGATATGCGAATGTACGAGGATTGGTGTAAGAACGGTGTAAATGAGTGAACTCTGTCGAAGTAGAGCTGGTCACTACATTCAATGTTCAGCGACAAGATACACAGGCATCAACATGGAGTCTCGAAGTATGCCCCGGGACAGTTACTCACAGATCAGCTCTCATTAAGGGCCCAATATCCCGAAAGGTGTCAAGCGCCTGAGCCGGCAACGTCGGAAGCACGTCCGTGTAGTTGAAGGCATCGTTGGCGATGATAGGCAGTGGGGTGGAATCTACAGGAGTGGATGTCTGAGTTGGGACATCTGCTCGTGCCGGGTAGGTCAAGTCCGCGTCAGATAATGAAGTGAAGTAGTCCGTAGCAACAGACAAGGTCTCTCGATGACTATCAAGACTGGAGCCATGAAGGTCCGAGCTTGCTGAAGATTCGCAACTCCGCCTCAGGGCTTTATTGACCTCGATTGAATCGCTCCTACTACTTCTCGCAAGGCGTCGTTCAAGAGTGGCTGCATTTACTCATCTTGTCAGTATCTGTAGTATGAATCCTAAATGTCCCACTTTAAGGCATTGCCCTTTACAGTGAAAATGTTGCTTACTGACCAATCCTTGATTGAAGCGTCTTAATATGATCTTTCTTGGATATTTGGGGTGGGGCAGCCGAGGCACTTCGACAACGTGAACCCGTACGAACACAACCGCTGCAAGGCTGTTTTCGATCACATCTAAGCTTGCCCTTTTGGCACTGCCGGCAGGTTGAATCAGGGCTGCGGCGGATATCATGGCTCGTTGCCGGGCTCCTGCGTGTTTCGGTCTCCTCCGTTATCGATGATGCCGCGGACCGGGGCGGTGTTGGGCCATTCGGCCCATTCTTCGGGTGCGACTGGCATAATACGCCACGTTCGAAGCAAGGGAGACAGAAGTTACTCCCGTCCATTGATGTTGTGAGCGTTGTGGTTGGAGAGTTGCCGATTATGATGCACTCAATGCTGCGTCTGTTTGACAATGAATACGTTCAACTTGCGCCAACCAGAACTTTGGATGCTCGTTAATGAAAACACCTGCTTGGAGACACCAAGACACGGTTATGTATGCTACATAGCTGCCAGCTTCCTCAGCGTTTGCCACTTTAGCGGCGTGATCTGAGTTCAGATAAGCAAAGATGCATCTCAATCAACATGGATAAAGTGTGACAGGACGATCCTGGTCTTTGATGAAAACCACATGAAATCTACCCAAAAGTGCCATTGCGAATTTGTGGTGATGCTAAGGAAAAGGAAATCAACCCCTGGAGGTTCCCATCACCGACGCTAGTCGCCTGGTAAAGAGCAAACTTTGCTGCTTGTTTGTTACCAAGGGTGTTTGCCCCTTTCCTCGGAATACTGATCCGTTGTGCCGCCCGCTTCATATTCCTTCTGCAGACCCCGCTTTTCCTTTTCTTTTGGCCGTTGTGTTTGCTTGTTTGCTCCCTCGGCTGATAGTTTGCCTATTAGTGCCTGACGGTTCATGTATGAGAGATTTTGCACAATTACCGGGATGCCGGGGTCGTTCCCTTGTCAGTCACCTTGCTGACCGGGCCCGGCCTTGCGATTCCCGGATCGGTGGAGTTCGCGACCTTCCGGGGTTGGAAGATGGCAAACCCGATCCCCTCCATGGTAGCTGATAGGGCATGAATAACGTGGATCGAGATCTTCGTAAGCGATGGCAGTTACGTGCCTGCCTTGGTCTTCGATGCGCCAGAAAGTGAGTTCTCAATTATATAGTATCGAAAGTACAGGCCAACCTCAAAATCTTACACGTGCACGCCGCTTATTCTCCGTCTACTCACTGGGGACTGCAAGTGCCTCGTCAATCGTCTTCCAAGTGTGATCTTTGACCTTTTTCAAATCCTCCTCAGTGAAAATAGCCTTGTTGCCGACAACCTTACCATTTTGATCGATACAACTCCAAGATGCGCCGTCCTTCCCCGAGGCCCCGTCCACTCCCTCCAGAAGTCTCTCGGCGCAGGTATCGGCCGGTACGCCCATCACATTGGTCAGGAGTTTTGTCGCAGTCCGAAGATACCACGGCATGGTATGGAAGAGATTGGTCTGTACGATGCCAGGGTACGCGTGGATGAAGTGTTGCCTCTTGTCCTTGTTCTCGGCCGCATAGGCCTGGATCATGGCGTCCGTCATGGACAGGCAGTGGTCCGCTGCTTTTTGCAAGCTGAAGTTCTTCTTCAGGTCCAAGTCGTCCCAAATCAGCTTCGTCGGGCTTCCGCGGGTGCTATCAAGGACGATGAGGACTTTGGCATCGTCCTTTAGGATGGGGCTCAGCTCGCGGATGAGAAGCTGCCTGCCGTAGTAGTGAAGGGCCATCTTGCGGTCGATTCCCTCGGACGTCTCGGTTCTACCTGCCATGGTGAGAATGCCTTGGGTGAGGACGAGCAAGTCGAGTTGTGGGTCTTGGAGGGACTTGTAGTCGTCCGTGTATCGCTTGATGGAGCGCATGGAAGATGCGTCCAAGGCGCGGAACTTGATGTTGGGGTGAGGGACGTCCTTGGGTTCGGTGCGGCCACTGATAGTCACTTGTGAGGATGCCGAAGCTGCGGCGAGGCGGCAGGCAATGGCGAAGCCAATGCCACCCGTTCCTCCTACGACTAATGATCGTGTAGCCATGACTTGCTATGAGAGTTGGATGAGATAGATGGTGGGATGTGAGGATGTCTTGGGGATTTCAAGCTCCTTATCAAACTTGGAAGCTGAGCTTGGCTCGGCGTGTGGTTAGGCCGATTCCGAAAACAATTCAAAGCTTCCCTAAGTCCGCATTTCCGCGTCATCTGATTGGCTCAATTCATCTGGCATTTTCCATTTCATGCAAAGGAAGCTTTCTAAGTCCGCAAAATCCGCCCACAACTTGTGTTTCGCAGCTGTCCATGAGTATGGTTTGGTATGACATTGCTTTGAAGCTCTTGGCTGAGAACATATGACAGTTAAGATAGATCCTCAAGGTCACTCCGACTTTCCGTTCAGTGTCCTTCCTTGTGGAACCTCCATTGCTTACGCCCCTACCTCTTGTCTTCTTGCGGCTTGTCGCCTCTTTCGGGTTTTGGTGGTACCGACATGGGGAACATAGGCTTATGCCGGGGATGAGATGACGACGGAACGGATGGAAAGGGGATGGAAAGTGCCCTCGAGCCCGGGCTCCGCAGCTTCCACTTCGCCGTATTTCGGAAAATCCTACGCCCATTTCCCGGGGATGTTATTTATAGCCTCGATTATATCCAGACTCCACGTGACCCTCACAGACCTTACGTAAGTACCAAGGATGAGCCGAAGTGCCGGACTGGGGATCTTCCCTTGAACCAAGTCGGCCACCTTACTGCATCAGTGCATAGCAGGACCCCAAGAGCTCCGATTCCCCTGCTCGCGGCTCTGCGGCAACGTTAACTCTGGGCGAGCGGGGCCGCTGACGCGTTACTGGTCTTCTGGCGGTTCAGCGCCAGCCAAAGAGAGACATCGCGGGACGCATGGGCTGCCGATGTTCCAGGTGAGAGAAGTCTCTGCCTGGGAAGCCTGGCACGCCTGGCCTGGTGTTTCCTGGCAGGGCGAGATCTTCCAAAGTGGTTGAGTTTTGAAAGGGATTGAAATCTGGAGCCAGAGCCACATTTCCCCCGTCTATTTCGCACCCCCGGGCCCCGGCCGTATGTTCCGTGGTCCGTCATACGGATACTCTTGTTCCCTTGAGGGCTGAAGTTTCGATCTCCTGCAAATCTGTTCCCTTTTTTTCCCATTTCCTCTCCTTGTGGTCCGAGTCTTGACCTACGCCCAACGGTTGTCATTGTCACACGTCACACGTCATACACACTACCACAGTGACCGCACCACACACAAAGGTTGACGACTGGACAAAAGAGGTGTTCACTGGTCGGTCGTCTGGGATGTCATTCTCGGCCCTACCACAGTACTTCAGCCCTTCGGACGGATCTGTGGGATCCAACGTGCTGGGTCACACCTAAACTGGGTCTCTACTCCGAATCTTTTGCCCATCCCACCGCTCCTCATTCCATTCTCCTTGGCGAACTACGGAGGGGCCCCCTCTGGTTCATCAACTTCGGTTCTTCGATTTGTTCCATTTGTTAAAATTTGTCCCGCCCCAGCCCGTGGAGCACTGGAGACGTTTCTTCACGTCGGCGGTGCCGAGTTTCCATTCTTGACCCTTCTACCCTACATAATCACGCCTTCTCCCCCTCGCGCTGCGCGAGGTCTTGTAGAGGGACGATGGGCATAATGGAGAAACTAGGGGTGACAGACCCCTTGGCAAAGCTTCCCCACAAGCCGCAGTCTTACAACGACAAATATGTCGTCGTCTACGACTTCAGTGAAGTCGGTACGTCAATTTCTCATTCGTCTTTCTATCATGATCGGGAACTATCGTTGGAATGGGGCTGGCCGACTGACTGTGCCCCAGATTCTGAGACCTCCGTCAAGGAGCTCACTACACTCCTTAACGAACTCGAGTCTGCTGGTCTCCAGACGGAAGTGAGGGCCGGCTATGACCAGACCCTTCTTATCTTCGTGAAGGCTCCTCGGGAGCTTCTAGGAAACACCGTCTACAAGTCGAGGTCAGTTGGACCAACCATCGTCACGGTCAGCTGAAGCCCTTGGCTGACATTTCCACCAGAGTAAAGGACTGGCTCTATGGCATCGTCCCCGAACATCCCGGCGGCACCAAGACCACCGTCGTCGACGGCGCCTTTGAGGCAGAGGACATTCTTTCAGTCTACCACCTCGTCAACTGGCCCAAGTCTCTCGGTGGTGCTGGAATCACGCCCGAGACGGGCCAGTGGAAGAATGTCAAGGCCATTTTCCCCCTGCACAATGAGGAGACGAACCAATCCCTCATGAAGCATCTCAGCAAGCGGCTGTTCCTGACGCCCGACGATATCGATTCCATTCGCGACCTCTGGGGAACCAAAGTGAGTCCCGCTAACCTGCGTTCTCTGCCCATGCCGTCTAACAGAATATTCGCATAGGTCGCTTTCTACTTTGCCTTCATTCAGACCTATCTTCTCTTCCTCACCTTCCCCGCAATCACTGGTGTCATTGCCTGGATGTACTTCTCAAAGTACTCCCTCACCTACGCTATCGCGACATGTGTCTGGTGTACCGTCTTCCTGGAATACTGGAAGATCCAGGAAGTTGATCTCAGTATCCGGTGGAACGTGCAGGGAATCGGCAAGGTCAAAGTCAACAGGCCGCAGTTCAAGTACGACAAGATTATCAAGGACGAGGCTGGCCAGGAGAAGCATTATTTCCCCAAGTGGAAGACGGTCTCCCGCCAACTGCTCCAAATCCCCTTTGTCTTGCTTTCCGCTCTGGCGCTGGGTGCCATCATCGTCCTTGTCTTTGCCATTGAGGTGCTTATTTCAGAAGGCTACGACGGCCCCTACAAGAACTTGATTGTAAGTTCTCTTTAGCATGCGTTGGTGCTTCAACGGGGTGCTAACCATAAGCAGGAATACGTTCCGACCTGCTTGCTCGCTATCGCGTTGCCCTACATCAGCAGCGGCCTCGAAGAAGTCGCCACGATGCTCACAAACTACGAAAACCACCGAACGGCCGATTACCACGAAATGTCTCTGACGCAAAAGATCTTCGTCCTCAACATCATCACAAACTACCTACCGATTCTCATCACGGCCTTCATTTACGTTCCCTTTGGCGACACCTTTGTCCCCTGGCTCGAGGGCATGACGAAGGGATTCCTCGGCGCCATTGGCCAAAAGTACATGGACGACGACCTTAGCTTCCACGTTGACGCTGACAGACTTCGTGACGAGGTCATCGCGCTCGTCGTCACAGGACAGATTTCCGGATTCTTCGACGAGAACATCATGCCGGTCCTCAAGCACAAGGCGCAAGGGATCTACCGCGAGTACAAGCGCTCGCACTCAAAGGATACGATGCTCATGTCCATCGTCAAGGATGCCCCCGAGGAAGCTAGATTCCTCCGCAGCGCACGCAACCAGGCCACCCTGGAAAAGTACAACGTCCAGGACGACATTGCCGAGATCGTCCTCCAGTTCGGCTACCTCGCCCTCTTCTCCCCCGTATGGCCCCTCATCCCCATCGGGTTCCTCATCAACAACATCGTCGAGCTACGCACCGACTTCCTCAAGATCTGCATGGAACATCGCCGCCCGCCCCCGGTGCGCACCGATGGCATCGGCCCGTGGATCAACTCCCTCGACTTCCTCACCTGGGCCGGCAGTCTCTCGACCGGCGCCATCGTGCACCTGTTCGGCGCAAACAGCATCGGCGGTGGAGCGTGGTGGGCGCTCCCCATCACCATCTTCATCAGCGAGCACGTGTTCCTCGGCTTGCGCTCGGTCGTCCGCTTCTGTCTAGAGAGCATCGGGTCGGAGCAAATTCGCAAGCAGAGGCACCAGCGATACGCGACGCGTGTGAAGCACCTCGAAGAGATGGAGGCCAACAAGCAGGCTGGGCTTATGCTCTCAGTCGCCGAGCGCGAGCGTCGCAAGTCAATCCGGGCGATGGGGCAGGAGTCCTTCTGGACGACACAGATTGACGACGGCGCGAGTGCCGCTGTGGGTATTGGTTTGATCCAATCGGTCAAGAGGGCTGAAGTGTTGAAAGCCGGGCAACCGAAGATTGACTAGTAGGATGTCTGTTTACTATACTGGTCAGATCATCTACACAAAATCGGCGTCTTGTTTGATTAGAGGAGTAAAATTTAGAGCATGAACACCGTGCCAATAGAATGCCATACAACATCAGTCCGTCCGCCTGCTCCCCGAGTTGGTGACTGAAGCTAAGTGAAGAGCTAAGTGGAGATTGGACGAAGAGGTATAGTGACATGTCTTTGACATCACATCACAGCACTGACATCATCGGATCGCATCCGCGCCATCAACAAACACAGCATCAACATCAACCTGACTTTCGAGCATCGATCACAAGACTGACAAACAGGTCCTTTTGAGACGATATCGACGGACAATTCGAGTTGTAACCACCAAGGCTCAGGACAGATCACTACGACTCATCCAAAATGTCCAAAATCACATCCCCCTTCAACAACCCAATCTCCTTCGCTTCTTGCTCCATCGGCCTCCCTCGACACACCCTCGAAGACAAACTGGCAGCACTCTCCGCCGCCGGCTTCAACGGCATCGAACTCTCCTTCCCGGATCTTCGAACCTACGCCACTCAACACCTCAACAAGGGCGAAATCGCGGCCGACGACTATCACTCCCTCTGCGAAGCCGGCAAGCTCATCCACGAGCTATGCGCGGAGCTCAACCTACAAATCATGGTCTTACAGCCCTTTGCGAACTTCGAAGGGTGGCCAAAGGGCAGCAAGCAGCGAGAAGAAGCGTTTGAGCGCGCGAGGGGATGGATGGAGATCATGAGCGCCGTGGGGACAGATATGCTGCAGGTCGGATCGTCGGATTCGCCGGATATCACGTCGTCGATCGGAGACCTTGTCGCCGATCTCGCAGAGTTGGCGGATCTTCTTGCGACGAGGGGGTTCAAGATCGCGTATGAGAATTGGTGCTGGGCCACGCACGTGCCGTCGTGGAAGGATGTGTGGAAGATTGTGCAGCTTGCTAATCGGCCTAACTTGGGGCTCTGCTTGGATACTTTCCAGTCTGCTGGTGGAGAATGGGGAGATCCGACGACGGAATCGGGACGCATTGAGACTGGTGGTGTGAGCGAGCAAGATCTCAAGATGTCGTATGAGATCTCTCTTCAGGAACTTGCAAAGACAGTTCCGCCGGAGAAGATCTATTTTCTCCAGATCAGCGACGCGTACAAGGTCTCACCGCCGTTGAGCAAAGAAGCGGATGAGAGTGGGTTGAGACCCCGGGGGCGCTGGAGCCATGATCATAGACCGCTGCCGTTCGACGGTGGGTATCTGCCCATCTTGCAGTTTTTGGAGGCTGTCATGAGCACCGGCTTCAGAGGGTGGTTGTCAGTCGAAGTGTTTGATGGGAAATTTGAGGAGAAGTACGGGGATGACCTGTCGGGATACGCCAAGAAGGGGAGGGACGGGGTTGTCAAGATGCTGGGCGAGATGATTGTCGATGGGAGTGGCCTCTGATTCTATGAGTAGCGCGATGATGCTACAACAATACACGAGCGAAGCCACTCGAGCGGCTCAACCTTTCAAGTCGAGACTCATACCAACCCATTCCTCCTCTCCTCGAGCTCATCAAACCTCACAGGCGTCTCATCCTCTGTCCACGGTACCACCTTCAATTCCTTCCAAATCCCCATCCACCTCCTCGCCTTCTTCTCATACGCCTCCCGCACACCAACTGTGGGATTCGGCCTCACAATCATCGAAAAGAACTCAGACAACCCTTTCGGCGCATACACCCTCCACGCCCCATCCGCCTCCACCCGGACCCCAATCATCGCGCTAGTCGTGATCCACGTATCGATTCCAGCCTCAGTCGACTCGTGCGCCGGGCAAGGGACCCCAAACTTCTCCTCATACCATAGGTGCACCCGCGCCTGGTTCCTGATCTCCACTCCTTCGCCGGGGATGCCCGCGAACAGCTCGCGCCCGCGGCAGATCACGGCGTCCTCGGCCTCGTAGGAGAGGTCCGAGTCGTCGTGGTAGACGAGGTCGTAGTCTGAGATGCCTGTCGTGGGCGGGAGCGATGAGACGTGGTTCCAGATTGTTTGGGAGACGGCGCCGCCTGCGAGGTACCAGTTTGGGAGGTTTAGGGTGGTGGCGAGGGAGAGGACTTTGATGAGTGTGTCGTTGGTTTCGAGGACTTGACGGACGAGGGTGAGCTGTTCGCCCAGCGGGAGTCTTGCGGGATTTACGGCGGGCATTTTGGTTTTGCGTGTGAGGAAAGGCCCTTGGCGAGGTTTCTGGGTGAGGCTTTTGTTGATGAAAACACTTTTTCGACGCGCTATCAATGACTCAGGCGCGTTGCGAACGTGTTTAAATTGGTGTTGAATGATGAGGATCAATCGCATCACGTTAGAGGTTTTGCGCCTGGCTTACCTAAGGTAAGTTGTGATTATGCCAGGCTTTCTTATTTCACATTGCGAATCGCGATGCGTCATTTTGAAATTCGTCGCTGTAAATTGAGTTTTAGAAGCATTCATTCCCTGCATTCCCAGAACGATTAGCTCTGTCGCAATGAACTCGGGCTTACTTGGAGACGAAGCACCGGAATCTCATAAGCTGAGAGCTCGTCGTATACTACAAGAAATCAATACACCTTAGCTATCACGGATACGCTTCATTTGCTACATAGGCAACTCAGAGACAACGCAATTTGTTGCGCCATCTGTCATGATCTCTTGCATCCTGATGTAAGACCATCAATGGCCCCTCCAGGTCATGATTTCTGATGAAGCATGCGAGCTTTCACATTTCACAGGAATTGTGTCGGCAGCTTGTCGTCCCCGCAATTACCCCGCAATCATGAGGGGCATTGTACCTTCAGTCGCAGATTGAGCGGTCATTTTTCAGCTTTGAGAAACAGGACTTACTGGCCTGCTGACAGCGGCACGTAGAGTGAAGTATCTCATTTGCGCTTCACGAAATTATTGAACATACGCGGAGGCTCGTCTATAGAATCACGTTTTTAGCCTCATCGGGCGAATTTCTATGCGAATATTGCGGCAATGAAGTAGTGGTGTTGAGGGTGTATAGCTTCACCGTGACTTATCAACTCACACAAGCCCCGCAATGATAGGTAGAAAATAATAGAAGTTCTTGTCTTGTTAAGATGTCGCATTATGTATTTGCTGCAATTATATTAATGTAAGTGAATACCTACATGTAGCTGTCTTTAGCCTGCATTGCTGCATAAGGCAGAAATAAATGACAAGCGCTCAACTGCAGCCTACTCATCTAGCCTGGGCAGATTCAGCTCAGGTACCAACGCATGATGACAAGCTGGCCATCAAAACATAATAGGTCGGAGAAGAAATAATGAAGGGTCGAACCAGCAATGTGCAATTAACGTAAAGCTGATATCAAACTCCATCTTCAAGCCTTTCAGAAGTAGGGCTTCCCCTCGCAAGGCTGCGGAGTGAGCACGTCTGTGATCTTTTGAACACAGCGAAGCTAGACCTCTAGCCCTTCACGCCTGCTCCACCCCTCCGCCGCTCGTACGAAAAAGCGTCTAAACATTTTCACGATGTACATTTTGTTCGGAACCATGAAAGTATGCTCGAAAGGTATTACGTGTTGCTTCGGTCACAAGCTGCAAACGGAAAACAAAGCGCAGTGGTCAATCTCCTCGGACCAGGATCTAACAGAACACTGATCTCAAGAAAGATTCTCGAGACTAGAAGGAGGCAAAGGGTTCGTATAGCATTGCCTGAAAGTGGCGAGCGGAAGTTGACTCTGAACGCTTTCTCAACACCGTCGAAATACGCCCAGATGCCATCGTTGCAGAAGTGGGAACGCCTCTAGATATTGGTGAGCGGAGTAATCGAGAAAGCTCTGTAGGTGGGGACGAACAAGAAGACGACCAACATGGCCCTAACCTCGTTGATCTTGAGAATGCCAGAAGCTATCTTGTCTCCGGAGCATCGCTGATGCCAGTCAAAGCTGAGTCTCGAGAATCCCTTCACCTACCCCGAATGGCCGTGGAGAAGCAAACACGAATGCAAAGCCAAACGGAAACGGAGACAGGGCGAGGGGCAAAGACCAAGTCACGTGGTTAGTCTTGTAGCGTTGGCTTTTGGAAAAGCAAACTATCTTCCTGGCTTTATTATACGTGTTATCCACCAAAACCGGGCTATCAGAGAGTTCGGTACGTCTGTGTAGGTGGTGCATTTCCATCGTCATATCGCTTCTAAGAGTTAGGAGCCGGAGCCCCCCAAAAGGTTTCGACTCGTTCCGATGGGAGAATCGACTAACCCGCAACATTTCAAATGTAGGGAATATCCTCCTGTCTCCGAAGTATTAGAAGCGAAAAGCTATTAACACAATCCAGTACCGACTGATGTAGCTGTTGATTCCATTCCATTGTGGCATCTAACGCTCCCTGGGCGCCGACACAGCGACAACTACTGGATCACAACATTTCCCAAAAAGCTTCGGGGTCTGGTACATCGCCTACCAGGAACCCGCGAAAGAGTAATTGGGTGGGGCATATGGATCAACGAACGCTTCAATTGGCACCTGGTTTTCTCTCTTCTTTTTGTAATCACGGTGATTATCTGGGCAATTGTGGCCATTTATCTTGCATGCAAGGCTGATGACTCTTCTGGTTTTGGTTTCGGGACTTTGCTCGCAGCACTTGTTGCGATTTATATGCCTCTTCAGTATTTTACTTAGAACGAAAAGCTGAAATAGAACTGTCAGCGACCTACCTTGTATGGCACCGCCTTACGCTACCATGACTTTATGGATTAAGGTAGTCAGTTAATTCACTTGTTCCTAGATGTCCACGAAACCACGTCTCATGTCAGCATCAGTGCAAATAGGAATAGTTTTGTGTTCAATGTCCTAAGCAACTGTCGTACAAAAACGGAACCGTAATTGCCGGCCAGCAATTACGCCTTATTTACCACAGCAACAAAAGATGTGCAGGGCATAATACCGACATAGCCTGTACTAGTTCCAAGTGTGTCATAAGGCCTCGCTTTTACGTAGACGGATCAATCTGGCCCTGGGATCAAAAGTGCTCGTCGGAACGGTATGAGAGGGAACTAGACGTCTTACAAGTGCGGCTATCATAGTTGTGTGGTGGTGCTAGAGATCCAGAATCTCTAACCTCCGAGTACTGCCTTGCCAGAGATCAGGAAAGGCGATCTCTAGGAATCGACCATCATATCATACTATTTCCAATGATGAACGCAGAGATCGAGCGTCTTTTCACCTAAGAAAGCGGTACATTACGTTCACCACGATTAAGCTAACGTGATATATTATACTAGCCCTGGCAGATTTGACCATCACTGGCCTTCGGCCACAGTTGTCAGACTCATCATCATTGCTTTGTTATTACTCAAATAGGGTATTATGCTTTTACTAAGATTTGTGGTCGTCATGTCGGATACATCAAATTCACGAGTCCTTCTGCTCATCGACAATGAGGAAGCTCTGTGGCACCACCCTCTCATTGTCATGCGAAGCCTCCCTCGTCGACCTTCCTCCATAAGTCAATTCTTCCTCACTCCCATTCTCACTGACACTCTTAATGTGCGACAAGGCCTCAACATCACCTTTGCTTGCTCTTGCTGAGAAGCCCATACTCGATCTCCTCTTCCCAGAAGTCGCCTCACTCTGCCTCTTTTGACACTTGAAGGTGCCGCAGCATTTGCAAGGAAAGTATGACATGCTGTAGACATCTTCGTGCCCGGACTGCGGCGGACCGTTGCTGGACTTGGCAAAGGTTGTGGCTGCGAAGGCCGATGGTCGGCGAGTAGCGTCGTCGGTAACGCGGTGGGGGGATGGGTTTGAGGTCATGCCTAACTTGTAGCCGATGGCTTTGAGAAGGGGTCGAAGCGTTGCGAGGCTGCCGGCGGTGATTGCTAGGCCTTGTTCTACGGATGACCAGATAGCGATGTCAAGGGTGGACCCTTTATTGAAGTTAGTTGACTTGTCCCTGGAAATAGACAACTTGAAACGGTAGACTTACAGAGGAAATCGGCGTCCTTGAGGCCCATGAGATACCCAAAGCGAACCAAGACAGCTGAGCTGGCACTAATAGGATGGTCAGCTTCGTTCATGTTGCCAATAAGGTTTGATTGTACTCACACGCAACCCATGATCAATAACGGGATCAAAGCAAACTTCGTCTTCTTTCGCAGTTGGAGGTTCCAAACCAAAAAGGCTGGGAGAATGGCGAATGTCAAGTCCGATATGACACTGAAGGCACTGTACAAGTATGCCAATGCAATAACAATGTTGACATCGATGCAGCTTCCTGGCTGACTCTTGTTCCAGAAGAACGAGATGGGGTGGCACTGAAATAGCGTCACGAAGAAGAATACGACTCCGGCTAGGACAGTGAACATCATAGCCACGTAGATGATCCAGCTGTGTAATCTGCGGGTAGTAATTCGCAAGAGAAAGAATCCGATGGACATTTTCGAGACGATCATGCTGAGGGAGTAAAAGAGGTAGCAGAACCACCAGCACTACAAGGTTGTGTTAGTACACTTGTAACCAGTGGAAATCGTATCGTCTTGAGTAGTTGCTGACCTCGAGCGCCTTGGTGATATGGTCATCTTCGATATCCGCGAAATGCCTTCCGGTGCCGTAGTGAACACCTAGTATCGAGAAGGTTGAGTAGCATATGAAGGAGGCCTTTGATGGAGTTAGTCATGTCTTCCTGTCTGTATACACAGTCATCATGCAAATCGAGTAATGCATACCAGAGCCAAGACCATGAGCCAGTCATCCGTTCCGAAAGCCTTGACCAGGCCAGCCCGGACGTAGCATCGCAATGCAGTGGCCAACACCGCCGCCGAGACGAAGAAGATGTTGACGGCCAGGAGCTCGGGTCCGCGGTTCTCAACCATGGGTGCCATGTTGACTCGTAGATCTCACGTTTCGATGTCTACCAGGGGTCCTTTCTTTAGAGCAGGCCCTCCCAGTTCCCACTTGAAGAGATGCAAGGTTTATGGGGATCGTGGGGAGGGAGGGGGGAGGCAAGCAAAGGTCGTACGATTCTTTATAATTCCCCATCCTTGAACAAGTACGAAAATGAAAAGAGGGATACGGGCCGCAGAAATCACAAGACTCCGTCGTTACCGTGCACCGGGCGCTAACGCCAGGGGTAGATGGGTCCTGTTGTGTTGCGTTTCCATCTTCAGAGCTCAATCCGAAGCCTTCAGTCGACGGCGTCGGGTCGTGCGTCCGGACAGCTCGGCATGCGCCGTTCGTCCCTCATTGAAGACTCAAAAGAAGGGAAAGTATCTGTCTTGACCCCACCGGAGCTCTCCTAGCTTCAAAGAACATTTGATTTTTGGGGATCATTTGCGATGAGGTAAGGCAACACCAACGAGCAGCTAGCTCCGAGCCTCTGGAAAGCTTTGCCTTGAAGAAAATGTCCAGATCCGGCGACGGACTCGGGACGGCGGCGGGAGGAATGCCTCATCCGCGTTAAGTCAAGCTCTAGAGCGTCTGCCACCAGTCCTTCTTAGGACACGGGCTCCGGTGAACGGACGAGGAAGCTGACCAGTGGAATAACTGTGGCTTGCTTTCTCGAAGGAGCGCTAGAACAGATCTATCACCGTTCCGACACGCCACGTCGGAAATGGTGGCCGTGCAAAACATCTCGCGTACGTCTAGCTTGTCGTCTAGCGGCTTTTCACTTGCTGTTTCTCTACTACTGATCGAACCAGTGGTTAAGCCTCTAAGCACAATCCTTGAAACAAACTGAGTTGCCCTCTGGCTTGAGTGGCATGAGTAATTCCATTAGGTAAGCGGCAGCAAACCTGACTTTGTTAAAAGCATGGTTTTTGCTGTCGGGATACCTCCGACCCATACCCACTTGGCGAGGGAGATCGGCCCGGGGATGTGTGCCGGGTTATGACCCGGAAGTGCCGCGATGCAACACAGTCATGGCCTCCCAGGCCCTTCTTTGCACACGTTAATCGAATGCCCAGTCGCATCAAGATGCCAAACGACAATATCCGTCACTTGTCAGATTGAAAGTTCGGTAGCTACAACTCTAATGCCATACACGAGGCACTACTGCGAGACACAAAACAGTGTGGCTATGAACAGGAACGCGACGGCTTAAATCAACAGCCCAGGGGAACTGAGACAACCTTCACGTCCTTTTCTAGGGCGCCACAAGTGCAAACTTCTCCAGCATTTTAACGCCAGCCTCCTCTTTGACATTAGCAGCTACACACCCTAATTCAGGACGTTGTGAGCATATTTCCCCAGCGATTTTGCTTTCCTGTCCCGGCTTTGATTCAACATGTGAGACATTTACCTCAGACTCCTTATTATTGTTCTTGAAGGAAATCATAGGCTCGAAGGATCAAGTCAAAGGGCTGAATGGTCAATGGCACACTCGCTAGAGCGTCTTGGCTTCCGGCCGGTTCCTCGCTGCGGTATCCTCCCGACATGGGTTCGTCGGCAGATTCTTTGCCGTGCGCACAAGCCAGGAAACAAGACATCCAGACGGCTCTTGGATGAGACCTGTGGATCTCCTGCTACCAGGATCCAGGTACACGGATGACGGACGGATGACGGGGCTGGTAATAGTTTGTTTGCAGGATGGGTCTGGAAGGGGTCCGGAAATGACCCCTTATGTGACAGACTGTGGGCCAGATTCACATGCACGGTTGAATGGACAATCCAAGCGTTGTCTCCAGCATCTCACGGTTCTCATCATGTCGCCTTGTTCAATCGGGAAGAGCAGGGACGATGTTGGGTGTCCCGTGGAAGCCCAGACAATGTGGAGGAAGGCCTGGTGAACTTTACACCTGCATGCAGCGGGAACTGCTGTTTCTTGGCAGGCTAGCACGCTCTAAGGATCTGCCGTTCCCTACAAACACGTAGCGGGGTTGAAACATTGGGATAGACGTCAATAGACGACAGAACTACCATGGCTATATGCGACAGGGCTATCACTAAGAGCTGTTGAATTGATCAAAGTACGGCCTCTCCGCTTGCGGCGTGATCCTCAACATATGCCGCCTAGTTGTCCCCTCTTCGACCCTGAAGTCTCGCAGCGCAGAGTGCTGAGTGTTCCTGTTGTCGTAGACCACCACCGTGCCCGGCCTCCAATGAACCCGCAGGTGCCAGTCCTGACCTCTTTCGATATGGTCAAACAAGAATCCTAGTAAGGCGGCACTCTCTTCCTGCTTCATACCGACAATTCGTTTTGTGTACAGCCGATTGACGTAGAGAGAAAACTGCTTAGTGACGGGATGGGTTCTCACGACTGGATGGATGGTTTCAATGGGTTCCCGGATGTATCGGTCGCGGGGTCGTTCACCGAAGCTTGAGAGAAGCCGGAGTGAACAGCCTTCAAGCTGTGAAGTAACGTACGATAAGTTTCTGAGAGAGCGTAGTAGGCTGCTGTGGTGGAGAGGTAAAGAGTATCCCCTCCAGATGCCGGAGTGCTCAGAGGCAAGAACGTTGTCGTACCCATCCCGTTGCTGTATGCTTTCAGGTTCCAATTCGATGACGTGTGTTCATTGGCAACGGACTTACATCTCATAGCTCATGTCGCTGTGCCACTTCACGCTGGTGACATTGTCTTTGATCTCGTTATCTACAGCACCTGCTCTGCGTTGTCTGTCAATCGTCCATGTCTGCTTTCGTCGTCGCGGTGGACTTACGTGAAGTCGCGGTACACAGGGAGTAGTTCTGGGTAGTCCTTGATCTGACCGCCCATCTGATGGACATGCAGTGAACCGAAATGTCTTCCGTAGGCTTTCTGCTTTTCGGGTCCAATATCTGCGAAATCTTGGTCTCGGAAAATCACCACGCCACGCTCAGCTGCGAAGAGTGCCAGTTCATCAAGCTGGGCAAAGCTCAGTTGACTAAGTTGGATTCCACGGATTTCAGTGCCGACCGCTGGGGTAACCTCTTCATAGCTGACCCCAGTTGCCCCTAAAAGATTCTCCTTGGTCGGATCAGCCCTCAAACCGACATCGTCATGGTGGAACTCTTCCAATGGAGGCTGAGTTCCGGGTACGAAATGTGGCAGGTAGCTTTCATATTTATACTAGAAGCAATCAGAATTTGCCCATTAATATTTCATGATGGTTGATACCTACGTTCTCCTTGTCGTAGTTGATAGACGTTTCTGCCCGAAGCTGAAACGTTGGAGGGTCTTCTGTGACCTTCGTGCTTACTTCTGTCGCCATTGAGGTGGAGTTTATTGGTAACCTGGTAGAAAACGCACTCTAAATACCTCGATTACGCCAGAGTTGTCCAGTCTAATATAGAAATGGCCGGATGCTTATTTCCGTGTTGGAGGTTGTACAAGCTAGCACGCGATCTTGTTGTCCTTGTTGCGACATCATCCTTGGAGATTCGTCATGACATCTGTGCCCTCACATTGGTTGAAGGCACCGTATCATGTCTGCATCTTATCTCTCGTGACAATGCTGCCGACATCAATATCATCGAATTTCCCGGTAAAATATTTGGACATACGGCAGTTCTCCTCTTTTCTGATTGCGAATTCCAAATGCATTGCTTATTGCCGAAGACCCTGGGAAGCATGCACTTGCCGGCATACCTCATGCCTTTTGTATGGCTTGCATCGGACAGTTTCCGAATTTCTTGCCGCACTGAAGACATGGGATGCCTCAGAAGAGGATAGAGGATCATCATAATCAGAAACAATGGCGTGCTTCAAGTAGAAACGGGGTACGCTATAAGGATTGCACATGGCGAGGGATGAAGATTGCCTTCACACTTCAGTCAGCTTAGCAATTTGTTCACTTAACATTAAGAAACATGACCAGTGACGGCAGAAAGCAAGATTTTGAGGTGTCTACAGGCCCTGAGGTCCAACTCGCATCTAGCGAGGTTGGTAGATGGAGGGTTCTCTCACACGTCTCACGAAAGGTCTGGGGGGATGACCCACGAGAGCGTAAGTATGTTCGGAAGTTGGACACCTTCCTCTTGTGAGTCGGGCTCTTATTGACTTGATTTTGTTGCAACTGACCTTGAAGACAGCTCTTACGTACTTCTCGGGTATTTCATCAAGTACCTCGATCAGAATAACTACAGCAATGCGTTCGTCAGCGGCATGCAAGAAGAGCTTGATCTTTATGGCAATGAGAGAAACCTCCTAAACACATACTTTAACATTGGTATCATTTTGGGTACTATCCCAGCCCAGATGATCCAGTTAAAATATGTACGTCCGTCGATTTGGATACCGGCGTGTGAACTCGGGTGGTCTGCCTTGACAATGATCATGGCGAGTGCCAAGAATGTGGAGACGGTATGCTCAGTCTCTGTCGCTCTCAAAGACTTGAAAGTAGAACATTGCTGACCAAGAATCGTTAGCTTTACGCTTTGCGATTTTTCATAGGACTTCTCGAGTCATGTTCCTTCCCAGGTTTCGCTAGCATACTGGGTAGTTGGTACGGCAAGTCTCAACTCGCCAAGCGTATGGCTTTGTTTGAGCAGACAGCTGCGATTGCTGGTATGTTCAGTGGATACCTCCAGGCAGGGCTTTACACTGGCATGAATGGGACAGCTGGGCTGTCTGGCTGGAGGTGGCTCTTCATCATGGATGGTCAGTCATCGGCACAACTCCGAGGCAATGTGGAGCTGGTGTTGATCGTTCATAGGAGTCATCTCGATACCGATCGCTTTGTATGGATTCTTTGCGCTTCCTGACTTACCACACAATACCAGGGCTTTCTACCTCCAAAAAGAAGTAAGGGGCCATCTCCTGTATGAAGTTAGTGGAGATCGACGTATAATGCAGGCTGACCATGATCAACAGGACCGTGAATATGGCATGGAGCGCATCAAAGCTATGGGTCGCAAACCACCATCGAAGCTGACTCTGAAGGCCATTAAGGAGATATACACTTCATGGCAGCTTTGGGCTTTCATACTTCCGTACCTGATGGTGGCTGAAGCTGGGTCCGGTACCGGATATTTCAACCTCTTTCTTAAGTCGGAGGGTTATAGCGTCGTCAAGACGAACATCCTCCCGACGATAGGTTTGTCTAACAATTACTGCGATTAGCTTCGACATGAAGAGTGCTGAGACCTTATGTATTTCCAGGAAACGCCATACAGATAGTCGCAGCGTTTGGTATGGGCTGGCTTTCAGATGCCACGGGTAGTCGAGTACTGACGGTAATGTTCGTACAGGCAATGGTGCTTGTGTCGAACATCATCCTGTCAATATGGAACGTTCCTAAGGCGGCCTTGTTTGCGGCCTTCTACTTGAGCTATACCGGCGGTGCGGCTCAGCCAATTGTCATCAGCTATGGGCACGAGATCACGCAATCCAATGCAAATCTCCGACAACTGCTGGTCGCTACGGGCAATATCTTTACCTACACCTTCAGTGCTTGGATGCCCGGTAAGTCTTATATCATGCGGAGTGCTTTTTATCTTGCAAGTCTTAATGTTCGGAATGCTAATGAAGTCCTGAAGTTGTGCTATTTCCGACATATGACGCCCCCAAGTACAAGTATGGTTACCAGATACTAATTCTCTTCGGCGGGCTGGCCGTTGCGGGCATGTATCTGCTTGACTTTCTGTACAAACGGGACTTGTTAGTTCAAAATCTTGGAAATGAAACCATAGGAGAAGCATTAACGTTCAAGTAGGAAACGCAACCCACAGCTTTACGAGGTCGAGCAGCAATCCGATAACGATCATCTCACGTCAGAGAGACGTCGTGACGATAGTTTGAGGCCCAGTCGCAATGATTTTGAGAGCCGATACGGAACCGTCGGACACGTAGAGACATCACTCCGGGCGAAGTAAATCGAAAACCGCTCATCGGACTAGTCAGGATCTTCCAAGTTTAGTGATGATCTAGACAAAGAACGGGAGAATTGGCAATGAACTGTGCGCTATCTATAGACGTAGGCATCTAGTTGGTCTGGATGGCAAGTCCAAGAATGCATGCCGGTGAACATTTACCAAACCGCAAAGAAAGTGGCCATGAGCGTTCGACGTAGAAATCACGGCTGGGGGAACTTTTGATAAAAGGTAGAAAACTTCAAGTTATCTACAACTTGGTATACAAGCTTGGGGGCATATCATAGAAAAGTGCCATAAGCGAGCTATATACTCATGTCTTCCGGCCAGTTCCATGACTTCTTCAAGTGCGCTAGTCTACCTCAAGATGTCAGCTCCCTACTCTAGGTTCCAAGGCGAAAACTGGCAAAGAAGACGGGCCAACTTACATCAATGATACATCCCAGCTGAAGTCATCTGCAGTATTTGATAACAACTCATAGAGTACATCTTGTTCTTCCCGTATGGTGAAACGGTCGCCCGCCAAGACTATTGCCATGCAGGCCGATCTGTTGATGAGTGAGTGATTATTCAGAAATCCCGAGAGCTCATCAACCTACATATGAGCCGGATTACATGGGCTGATCGAGTCTGCCATGCCGGCAAGAATTTTCACGTCGGTAAAGATCTCATTCTACAACATATACGTAAGCAAAAAAAGAAGAAAAAAAGAGAGAGACAAAGAAAGTGCGGCTCCCAGGCAGTGAAGACTTGCATTGATCGACCGAGCTGCTTGCTTGGATACTTTAGCCAAGAGTTGAGCATCAGGATTATGTATCGTTAAGAGAATACGGTTGATGTGATAGAACAGAAGCCCCATTACGACAGAATCGTTTAACAGGAATATCTCTGGAAAGAGGCTACCACGTAATGGGGCTTTTACCAAGACCGGCATGAACGACTCTGGAACTGACCTCATCCACTTCGCAGCGTAAGATACCAGCTGGTCATAGGTCTCGCGGGACTTGTTTTCCCCATAGCAGTAGTTGAGTACGTCGACGGTGTGGAGGCACATCCGCCATGCCCAGATATCGTCGTCCGCTGGTCGGAGGGAGCGATCGAAGTCAACATGCTCTATTTCGAGGTCTAGCTTTTCGTTTCGCATGACGGACCGGAAGATTTCGATGCGTATCCAGGCCCACATTGCTGCCTCCAGGAGAGTGCCATGCTCGGGAGTCTTGATGTGCGTGGAAAGGAACCTCCATATCGGGGTTACAGGTGTCTTTTGACACAACGGTGTGACTATTATGAAAGTCAGCGAGACTGAGTGCATGGCATGATGTCACAAATGCTTTGCCAGGTTCTCGAGTTCCATGCAGCCAGGCAATGAAGCCATAGCCTTAGGCAGTGGGAGGACGCACTATAAATATTCTCATAAAGCCTGAGCAGAACGGCGGCAGCAATATGTGCCTCATCGACCTCGGGAACAGCGTCATCCAAGGCAGGCTGTAGAAGCTCCATAGTCATCTCATAGTATCGTTCTGCAGGCTTATCAAAGAAGTTTAGGCTATCGCCCTCATCCTTCGACTTTGCCGACACAGCTAAGACAGCATTGAGCAGCACGGGGCTGAGAGCAGCATGCTGCAGAAGAAGAACCGAGATCCGATTGTGTGGGTCGCCATAGTCGAAGGAGGCCGCGATGAACTCCCTGAAGTGGCGAACTAAATCTGCCTCACGACGGTCTTCTAACGGAAAGTTGGCGGAACTGAAGGATCGACGCGGCTCGGGCAAGCTAGGGTCGTCGCAGTGGCTCCCGCTACCAATTTCGCTGATGGCGCTTCGAGGCACTGGTGAGAAGGACCGCGGCGCATCGTCTGACTCCAAGTGGCCTGACGATGGGCTTCGGAAAGCAGGATGAGGGTGTAGGGCGGGTAGCTTCGTCAAGGGGTACGGCTGGCCTTTCTCGATGGGTAAAGGACTCTGGCCAGTTTCGTTGGCAGCAGCGTCCGAGTTTCGGCTTGGACGATTGGTCGATGACGGCTTGATGAATTCATCTTGTCTTTTCTTGGTCCGTCGCGGTGGTAGTGCTGGTGGACTCGGGGGATAATCTTCGATCGAGATGAAGTCTTCGTCGTCGGAGTCGAATCCATCGTTGTGGAGGCTGTTTATATCGGCGGTCTCGTCGATGAAGCGTATCCTCTTCCCCGCCACCCGGCACCACTTTTGCGTATCTGAGAACTCATATTGGGGCTCCCCTCGATTACCATCTGTGTCACTGTAGGTTGGAAGCAGTCAGATGCGTGCCTTTGGGCTGGGGAGACAACTAATAAGAGAGAATAGGGATAAGCAATTCACCTTGGCACGGTAATGTGTCTGAACTTGAGCTTGGTACCGCGGACACAAGCCCTGCCTTTCCGAACACACTGCCCGCAAGGGGCTCCTTTATCGCCTTTATGAATAAGTCAGCTATTGGAACGGAATGCCGTCAATACTCCCACTGTCGAAGGGGGGCGTATCCACCCCCGCACTTACATTTGATATGTCTGGGGAAGGCAATACAAAATCAGGTTAGTGAACTGTCCGGGGCCACGCGGTAGATCGATCCGTTCTCGGTCTCGGGCTGGGAGCGAGGGGTTCTGCGGCAGAGGGAAATGGCAGCCATCCCCGCGGGTTCCGCAAACCTATCCGAGAGGCCGGGGCATTGGCTACCCTTCCTACCAAAGTAAAGAGGGAATGATTTACAGATGAATGACAGCTTGAGTAAATGGTCTCCAGTAACGTACCTTGAGCGACAGCTTTCGCAGCCCGGCCTCCTTACGGTTCCCGGACTGGGCATTTGAGGCAAGAAAACAGCGACTGTCTCTCACTTGCACTGCAAGGCGGTTATTCCTCTTGGGCGGCGGCAAACGGCTCAGGTGGGACGACAGAAGGTGAGCAACATGTTTGTGGGGGAAAGGCGAACAAGAACTGGCGGCTGGTATGGGATGTGGGCAATGTACACACCATTGTAACTCGGACGATTGACCGGGGCCTTTCGCGCAGTTTTTTCCAAGTCTGTCGAACTAAGGAGGGATTTCCGTGCGGGGATAATAATTGGAGACGTGCGGTAAGAACGCCGAATGTCGCCGATGGCGCGTCAAAGTCATCGTGGCCAGATGTTACAATGATAGTCTCGTGCAAACTGCGTGCCGGTAGGCGTCTGGTATTGAATTTGGGTTTGAGCTTATGTAGTCTTTTGGGGTTGATAGACAATCACAATTGAGTTCATAGCAATTCGCGAAGAAGGCGCGATCAAAACCGTAAGCTAAATTTATAAAAGAAATCATGGGTATCCTCATCTAATCTCGTTATTTCCGCCTTACGGGGAGCCTCAAACCCCAATGAAGCTTTAACACCATATCTTTTTGCGAGTAAACTACCTTACGCTGGCTTCTGCTGGGAATCGGCACCTGCTTGAGTTGATCATGATCTCATAACTGTCTGGGGTAATGGGAATTCAAAAAGTCTCCGGATTTCTAGACCCAAGTCTAACAACAGACCGTCGCGGAAAGCATTGCTCTATTCAACTAAAAGAGTAAAACTTGAGCGAAACCCCCAAAAGATGATCCACTGACTCGGCCTCTGCCCCGGACCCACTTCCCCGCGCTCGGGATCGCCACGGCGCGCGCGAATTTTGCCTCGTTGGTTGTGAAGGGTAAGGCTTTCCGTTGGCTGACAATTGCTCAGACGAATTGGGGGTCATGATTGGTCTGTTCAGCCAACCTTTCTCGATGTTGTTTGCAACAGCTTCAGCCTCTAGCCATGGCATTTTGCGCTATCAGTTTCCCGAATGCCGCAGAACACCGGTAGGAAGGAAGTTCCAACCGTATTCAGTATCATCGTGAGTATGTCTCGTTCATATAATCACTGTAGATGCTCCATATTCGTGCATGCCAGCGCCTTGGTCGCCTATATAAGATGAGGAGCTCGTGCCTGGTCTGCCAGATGATTCCAGCATGCCAGTCTTCTCTCTTCATCCATCTTGTTGACTCACCTGCATTCATACCCCTTCAAAGACGCTTGAGTAAATTTTCCTGTCTATCCACGAATCACATACACAAAAATGGTCCAGAAACTCAGAATCGCGGCGTCTGGCCTTGGCCGTATGGGCAAGCGTCATGCCATCAACTTCCTGCACCGCACCCCCCGCGCGCAGCTCGTTGCCGCCTTCACACCGGATGAGAATGAGCTTGTTTGGGCACGACAAGAGCTAGAGCCTCACGGAGTCACTCTCTATACCGACTACGACGAGATGCTCACTCACGAGGGCCTCCAAGCCGTCGTCATTGCCACCGTTACCAAGGTGCATGCCGATCAGGCTATCAAGGCCATCAACAAGGATCTTCACGTCCTGTGCGAGAAGCCCATCTCTCTCGACCTCGCCAAGGTCAGTAGCTTCCAACCATCAATCTTGCAGACTCATTGCTTATACTCCGCAGTCCATGGAGGTCGTCACTGCTGCCCAGCACAAGCCTCATCTCAAGGTCATGTGCGGCTTCTCCCGCCGTTTCGACTCATCATACAGGGACGCCTTTGAGAAGATTGAGACGGGCTTGATCGGCAGACCTTCCGTTATCAGATCTCAAACATGTGACAAGCATGATCCCAGTGGCTTCTTTGTCAAGTATGCGGCCCTGAACGGCGGTTGTTTCGTTGACATGAGTGGTTAGTATCTCTCCCGATTATCCAAAAGTGATTGGCTGCCTATACTAATAAACACTACAGTCCATGACATTGACCTGTCATTATGGTTCTTTGGCGAGGACTCCCAAGTCAAGTCAGTGTCAGCATCCGGTATTACAGCTGTCTCTCCTGAGCTGAAGGAGCACGGCGACTGCGATAATGCCGTCGGCATTGTTGAGTTCTGGGGCGGCAAGATCGCCTACTTCTACAACTCGCGTATGATGGCGCACGGACAAGAGGATACCACAGAGCTCATCGGCACCGGCGGCAAGCTCACAGTCAATGGAAACCCCCAAGCCAACTTTGTCAACTACTACGGGCCCCAGGGTATCACCAGGGAAGTCCCCGCCCACTACTACGGTCGGTTCGAGTATGCCTTCGTCCAGGAGGCAAACGAATTCACTGCCGCTGCACTGGACAACACCAAGTTGCCTCTCAAGTTGACCAACGCTGTCAAGGCTGTCCAGATTGGGTCTTACCTGCAAGAGGCGCTGGAGTCAGGCAAGAAGTTGTACTTTGACGAGATTGGTCGGCGCCTTGAGAAGCAGGCGAAGTTGTAGACGATGTTATAGGGGACAGATAGAAAGTTTTCCCTTGCTTAATGAAATAGAAAGTCTTTATTCAGTTGCTGTCTACTGAAGATGCTGTACCAGTCTGCTCACTCCCGTTTAACTGCTTTATACAAACGGGCACGTAGATTCATACGCACAAACTTCGGCATTAAGGTCAACTAAGAGCTAGGATATGATTTATAGATTATGATTCCTTGGCAGGAAGCAGAGATAGCCCGCAGGCTGCATTGACTTTGCCGAAACCTAACGTCTGTCCTAGATATTGGCTAAAAGCTTCTTCTCCGCGGAAAAACGTGATAGAGACAAGCAAGGCCGTGGAGACTTTCGGTTTTATCACTTCCGAGCGTCTGCAAAAAGATGCCCAAAGGCACTGTTGCAACTATCTTGTGACCACTGAGAGTTCAGTTGCTCCTCCAAGTCTTTCGTGCGCCATCCAGTCCGTTGATGTAGTTTGTCGAGTAAATCTAGGCTTTCGCGTTGCTCTTTGGGGTCCGTGAGATATATGCCACCTGTAAATGCGAACACGGACGCACTAGTCAGTCATATGCTCATTCAATACAGGATCAGGCAGGGGCGCTTACAGGCTCTCAATGCATGGGCAGCTGTAAAACTAGCATTGACTACCAGCGGGTTGCTGATCGCGAGACCTAGAAGGAGACGGAAGTTATCCAGAACTGCTTGCTGAGCGGTGTCAGTCTGATGGTACGTTGATGCCAAAGGCTTGGAACTGCCGACTCACCTCTGACTCCCTTCTCCGCCTAAAGGTATCAAGACTCGGTTTGCTTAGATATGGGTTGAAAATGTGCAAGATCATGCGTGCAAGACTGTAATGTTGATATCCCACCACTAAAAGCACAAGTTGTTAGCTTCCACAAGGAAAGAAGGCGAACTTTCGATATTTAGTCTCACCATGAGCAGGATGCGTCATCCATACCGTTGGAAAAGCAGACCCGTTGGCACTGGTATCATGCGGCGGGTCTACCCAGAGAGGATCCGCATGCCAAGGGTTAGAGACGAGCCAGTTTCCGAGCTCCTGGTTGAGTTTATTCCATCGATCGAGGTCTCTGACCATGGTGGGTTGGAAGGCGTAGGCGCAGGCCTGGGCGCACAAAAAGACGGCACGGTTGGCAAGGCACTCGGGATCGGAAACGACGAACGAGCTAGAACCTTTGTAGCTGTCCAAGTTGATGCTCAGAGGCTGGGATTTGACCAAGGCGACCCAATAGTCCTGGCGCAATACGATCCAACTCGCTGCTTCTCCCAGTCCACCTTTACTCGCGAGGCTGAACATGGAGTTGAGAAGTTTGGAACTGCCGGATAAATGAACGCCAAAGTCGGTATCTTCAAAAAGAAAGTCAATTTTCAAAAGACAATCGCAACCAAAGTTGGCAACTCTCACCAGTCATTTCTTCGTATTGTCTCAAGATTACGATCGCCGCCAGAACTTCTTCATTCAGGGCCTCTGTAGAGCTACCCAGGATCGGTATCAAGATTTGCAAGGCGTGGCTGTAGTAGGTAGAAGGTTTGGAGTCATCGGTTCCTTTGATGGAGCAGAGGCTTCGAGATGCCAATGCTATGATCGCGTATGCAAGCAGGGGTGAATGACATGCTCTTTTGGGCACTTCTGTTCCGAAATGTCGACGTTTGTCGCTCACATCTACCTGTACGATTCTCAACATTAGCTCTCGACCACTATGTCTGAGTCCATGTACTTTCAAGACGATCACTTACCCATGTAGAGAGATCATGAATGTAGTGCATGAACAATCTCGCCTTTTCCCTGTCTTCGAATGGTCTTCCGACGCCATGTTGACTCAACGACGGGGAAATTGAGATGGATTGGAAAGAGTCATCCTGGCTGTCTCTGTATCACTGCGTCAACAAAAGCTTGAAACATAACGCAACGCGCCAGACTTACTTTGCGACTATATCTTCATCTAGGCCTCTTTGGCCAGCCCGCCTCGCAACGCTGATGTCTAGGAGCGACGGCAGAGGGCTCTTCCATATCTCGCCAGCCAAATCATGCTCAGACATCCCTCAACATGCCCACGATGCTGTCTTGAGGCAAGTTGATGTCGTCGTGATCGAGCCGAGATGAACCAAAGTCATCAAGCTGTACATACTCAGACAGGCGTCCGGACCAAGGATTGTTACAATAGGCCTCGTGGTTACGGATACACGTACGGCTATTCGTAGAGACGTGGACTTCGCGTAGGAAAATGTACGCGGAGTTTGGCGGATTACATTTCCTCTTTCGGGCTAGGATGTGGCGGTGCGGAGAGGGAAAGATTACCCTCTTGGATCTTTTCGCATGTTCTCAAGGAGCTACCCGCAGGCCGAAGGCCCAATCATAACAACCCCGCTTTTC